GGGGGGGGGGGGGGCAGTCAGCAAGCTTACAGCTGGCGAGCTCCCAGTGGAATAGCTGAGCCATCGCTCCTCGTGGGTGTTTTGGAAGCTGCCTGGCGTGTGTTCTCAGAAGTTCCTGTCTTTCCAGGGCCGTCTCCTGCACCACTCAGCTAACAGGTACCGGCACCAGATTTCCCCCCTCCCCCGTCCTGTCTGTGAAATCTCAGAGACTTGAGTCAGTACAGGGCTGGTTTCACACAGACCATGTGGGGCTGGGGCACGGGAGCAGGGGCAGCAGGTACAGTTTGATCAAGGTGCTGATCATGATAATGCTTGTTAGCCATTAAGGAAGGGGCTACTTCCTGGGTGCGGGAGTTAATATGATGTCACAGAAATCATATTAACTTTCCATCCCAGACTTTGAGTGAAAACTCCCTTTTGGGGTAAAAAAATCAGAACCTTCGCTTCCTAGTAGTTTACAAGAAAATGCATAGTGGCAAAATTACTGAATTCAGTGATGCTCTCTTTTAACTAAATTTGTGTCTTTTTCACCCTGTTATGCGTTTGAAAGATAGTGGCACATATAGCAGGAGTCGTGCCATTTGTTTGGTCTTCCCACCGAGTGCCATGCACGCATGCAACCCCACGCTGAGAAACTTCTCCTTGTAGTGGTTCTGGGAGCCCGAGTGGGACCCACCTTAGTCTAATCCTCATTTCTTATGGTATTTAGGCCCAGGGTCCCCAGCTGCAGTCGCTGGCCCGTGGATCTCCTGCCAAGGCCGGAACCATCTCTTTCTGTGCAGTTAAGTGCAGGCCTCGTGGGCTGTGTACACGTGTCCTTCCTGTCCGTTTCCTTGCTGTAGCTTGCAGACGGCTCACTGCTGACCACAGGCTGCAGGGCACTTTCTCCCGTGTGTCCCAGAGGCCTTGGTAGGAAACTGTAGGCCCACAGACGCATAGGCCCCGGGACAGCGAGGCCTCTGTGCTGCCTGTTTGATCTCATTGTCCGCAGGCCCCGAACAAACCTCCTCTCCTGTAAACGACAACTCCAGGCTCAGCTGATGAGCTCAGGGACTGTCAGCGGGCGCTGAGATGTCCTGGGAGCAGCGTGTGGAAGGGGCGGCTGGGGAGCCCTGGCCCCCTGCAGTTCTCACCTACTCTCCCAGGCAACCCAGCCTTCAACCAAAGAACCGCCGCAGCCCCGCATGCAGTCAGTGCCGGGGATGGAAAGGCCTCGAGGTTTGGATTTCTGCCCAGAAAACAAGGGCCTGCCTGCCCGAGTGGCCACCTGTCAGTCCCTGTCTACAGGCCAGGAGCTGCTGGACCAGGAGCTGCTGCACGGTGGGCCCTGGGCAGGGGGCAGGGCCAGTGTCGCCCTCCTGCCACAGCACCGAGCACATTCACGTGGGCCTCTAGCATGGCTGGTGTCTGGCAGCCCAGGAGGCTTTACAGCCCTGCGTGGGAGGGGGAGTAGAGGAGATGCCCACTAGTGGAGATGCCCCATCTGGGGAGGCAGCCCTGGTGCATGGGCCTCCGGTGACTTGGGTCCAACAGCGGATGGCAGTCTGTCTGGGCAAGGAGCTAGCTCCTGTGTCTCCAGACCTGGCTTTTTGTGTGAGCCCCGAGCCCTCCAGGCAAACAGCATCTACGTGGCTGACAGTCTCGGGCCCCCCTACTCTACTCAGAGGAGGTTTTCTAAGTGGCAACCCTAGACAGCCCTTGTGCCAGGTCCATGTTGGTGCTATAAGCAGGCCCGGCCAGAGAGGCGCTCCCGAAAGACAGGGCAGCCTCTCTCTTGCACTGATTACGTGGTGTGAAGCTGTAAAGCAGGAAGCATTCAGAGCCCATAAACCATCCAGACCTCAGGCCAGCAGACGCAGGTAGGGACAGGAGTGCCCACGGCCTCTCCGGGCCTCTGCTCTTGCCTCCTTTGGGGCTGTGTCCTTCATGCCTCCTTCATGGGGACCTCTGCCCTCACTACACAGTGTCCTGTGTCACCCACGGCAACTGGAGCGCTGTCCTTTTTTTTCTTTTGTGTCTCATAATTATTTTTAATGGAAGAATCTAGTTGTTAAATACGCGTCACATAAAATTTGCCATCTTAGCCATGTTTAGGTGTCAGTTCAGTGACGTCAAGGACTTTCACATTGTCATACGATCTTCATCTCCATCTGGCCACGAAGTCCCCACTCCAGCCCCTGGTAACTATTCTGCTTTCTGTCTCCATGGATTTGATGACTTGAGGTCCCTCCTATAAGTGGGATCGCACAGAATTTGTCCTTCTGTGACTGGCTTATTTCACTCAGAATGGTGCCCTCTCGGTTCATCCTTGTAACAACACGTGTGTGTCAGGATTCCCGTCCATTTTTAAGGCTGAATCATAGTCCATTGTGTGTCTAGACCACGTTTTGATGATCCATTCAGCCATTGATGTACATTGTGTTGTTTCCGTTTTTAGGTTATTGCAAATCGTGCTGCTGTGAACGTGGGTGAACAAATACCTCTTTGAGACCCTGATTTCAGTTCTTTGGGGTATAAACCAGAAGTGGGGTTGCTGGGTCCTAAGGTGATCCTTTTCCACAGCAGCTGCACCCCCTTACGTTCCTACCAGCAGTGCACGAGAGTTCCAGTTTCTCCACGGCCCCGCCAATGCTGTCATTTTTTGCTCGTTCTGATAGTAGCCATCCTAATTGGGGTGAGGTGATGCCAGCCTTTCTTTTTGAAATCAAGTGTCCGGGACAAATGGTCTGAAAATGTAACAGGATTCTAAAGGGGGTCCAGGTCACAGCTGAAATATTTAGGCAAGGCTCTACTGTTAGCCAAACACGCTTATGTACTTGTGAGCACACGCAGGCACACACACCCGGTCTGTGGCTCCAGTTGCCCCTGGGGTACCCAGGCTCCTGGTGGCGGTGCCTCAGGGGCTGCCGGCGCCTCTGCCATGAGCCCAGTCGAAGGCAGCGCATGCGCACTGCTCTCATGGAGACTTTTTTTTTCCCCCACCCGTGTTTGTGTTTTGGCTCCAGAACCACGACCACGCCTGCATCGCCTGCCGCATCATCCACAGGTCAGACGAGCACCGGCCGCCCCTGCTGCCCCCCAAGGCGGACCTGACGGTGGGCCTGCACGGCGAGTGGGTGAGCCAGCGCTGCGAGGTGCGGCCCGAGGTCCTCTTCCTCACGCGCCACTTCATCTTCCACGACAACAACCACACCTGGGAGGGGCACTACTACCACTACTCCGACCCCGTGTGCAAGCATCCCACCTTCACCATCTACGCCAAGGGTCGCTACAGCCGCGGCGTGCACTCCACCAGGGTCATGGGCGGCACGGAGTTTGTGTTCAAAGGTAGGGCTCCTGCCCCACACCCCATACCCCGAGGTCACAGCAGCAGTTTGAGGACGTGTTTGTGGAGGCGGAGCCAGGGGCAAAGGGCATCTTCTCTGCTAGGGATGTTGGGGAGTGGACTGCCTCCCTGCATCATTCTCTGCAGCCTCGGAGCTGGCGTTAGTGACGCCCAGGTGCTCAGAGTGTGCCCGTCGTGCCCTTGAGAAGATGCCACGTGCTTGCAGGTGGGCGGGCGGTATGCCTGGTGATCACCTAAGTAAGGCAGGCAAAGGGTGACATTCTCCAGGCTGCAAGGCTGTGAGCAAGGGGTGGTGGGGGCCTTGTGATCTCTATTTCTAGACTTTTTTTAAGCTTGTGCATCTTTTTAGGAAGGTGTCAACCCTGTCATGGACAAATAAGAGGGCTGGCCTAGATACCCCTCCCAGGATAGCATCCTGTGATTCAGTCCATTTAATAGGAAGTATTTCTGCCAACCCAGATAAGCCCTGGGGCATTTTACTGCCCCCCCCACCCCGCACCTTAGGGAGGAAGACTGGCTCTAGGGACAATGGGCTTTTGGTAGCTGTAGCCCAGAGAACAGCTGTCTGGGTCTCAGTCCCCTCCAAAGCTCTCACGTGTACGCAGAATATGGGCCCCTGGGAGAGCCTCAGAAGCGGTCCTCTACAAGGGCTGGGATTTCCATTGAACAGATTTGAGCATATTTTTCTTGCTTACAACCTAATTTATTTTAGTTGCCTGATTTATGGGCCAGTATAGACTGCCCACTAATATAGGTGTCTGACACCAAAACTATTTAAAAACCTCAAAACCTATTCATAAAAACAAATGCCAGTTTTCGTTGAATACTGTGTCCATCCCAAAGAGCAGTGTCCCCAGAGACCGCTTCTTGGGGACAGTCTGACTTCACAGGAACAGGCTTGGTCAGTTGTAGTCTGGGCTCAGCATTCACTGCCAGATGGGCTGGACTTTTCCTGGTGGCGCCTTCAGGGTGCTTGGTGTGGCCACCGATCACGTCCAGACATGGAACCTTTTCCATCTGAGGGTCTTTTCTGTGGGCTACGGTCTGGCGGGTTGGTCTGCAGGGTGGGTTTGAGAGCAGAAGCCTGTGAGGCTTGGTGCCCCCAGCATTCTTGAATCACGGAGCTGTCCTGTGTCCTTGGCAGTGAACCACATGAAGGTCACCCCCATGGACGCGGCCACTGCCTCGCTCCTCAATGTCTTCAACGGGAACGAGTGCGGGGCGGAGGGCTCCTGGCAGGTGGGTGTCCAGCAGGACGTGACCCACACCAATGGCTGTGTGGCACTGGGCATCAAACTACCTCACACGGAATACGAGATCTTCAAGATGGAGCAGGATGCCCGCGGCCGCTACCTGCTCTTCAACGGCCAGAGGCCCAGCGACGGCTCCAGCCCGGACAGGCCCGAGAAGAGAGCCACATCCTACCAGATGCCCTTGGTCCAGTGTGCCTCCTCGGCGCCCAGGGCTGAGGACTTCTCTGAGGACTCCGGGCAGCATCAGCACCGGAGCCGGGCACCCGGGAGCGGCCCGTGTCCCCTGCTGCTGGCTGGGCTCGCTGGCCTTTGGACTCTGCAGCCCTGGCACAGTCTTGGATAGAAGCGCTTACAGAGCTTGATTTTTCCAAACCAGGATGCCTTACAATTTACAGATTTTCTTTACAAAAAGAAAAGACACTTCTTCCTCGGATGCACTTGAGCGGCTGAGAACAGTCCTCCTCCCCCGCCTGGCCCCCGCCCGCCTGGCCTGAGTCATGAGCTGTTTGAAGTTTTGGCTTTGAACTGCATCCAGTCGGATCCCGGGCCTGGGCGTCCTCACCATATAATTGCACTTTAAGACCACAGAGAGGTTCAGGCGAGCGTGTTGGCAGAGGGAGCAGGATGAGAGCTCCATCTTCTTTTCTTCCTCTTCGTGATTATTGCATTTCGGGGGGGAACTTAGGAGAAACAAATAGCAGCTTCAGCTTTTCCTGCTGCTTCACTGCGGTTGCTTTCTGCTCCTTTGAGCCTGTTTCACTCTCCAAGTTTTCCAACCTGGAATGCAGTGCAGAGTTGGTTTGGGACTGCGATCCAGACACCTTTGATGAAATAAAGAAGAGATAGGGGTGCAGGAAAAGACACTGGTGTAACGGAACCACCTTGACAGCTTTATGCAAAAAGGGAGCAAATCCACACTTTCAAATGTTGAAAAGTATCTGTAATTAAAGTTTCAGAGTCATTTAAACGTTGGTTGTTTTAACTTGTTGGGAGATGTTGGTGCTGGTCTCTGGGTGGCTGCAGGATGCACTCTGCTCTTACCTGCCCGGGGGACAGGGTGGTGGAGTATGTGTCAGATGGAGGCTGTCCCGCTACGGACGGACAGGAGCAGCAGTGCAGGGAGGGTGACGCTGCGTGATGGTGACCCGAGTGACGCAGTGCCCATTCGGTCTGGCCTCATCTCTGTGGGACCCCATCCCGGCTCACGTCGTGTCTGGAGCTTCACTCTGCCATCTCTGTCACTTCAAAGACCAAGACTCAGAGGCCACGCGTGGGCGCCACGGGCCTGGCTGTGCAGAGAAGGCGGTGGGGGGATCCTAGCCGGCTGCCCCACGAGACCATCCACCCTCCTCACGGGACGGGCCGGCCCGACCCGCCTCTGTCACTGCAGAGGGCCTCAGGGCACCTTCTACAGAGTCTGTGAGGGTGCGTGAGGCACGTCTGCATGGCACTTTGGATTATTACGAATGGTGCGCTCAGGACGCCAAAGGTGGTTGCCAGGGGAGACCGATGGAGGGAAATGGTGAGTAAATGACAGAAAGCCTGGATATAACTAAAGACCAGTGTGGAAACCACGGTCAAGGTCTAGAGTCACACCTATATTTAAGAGTTACCCTTACGGGATGCTGTGATGTTAAGTTATAAGTGGAGCATGGAGGACCACAGTGCTTTACCTCTAGATGATATTTTACGTTGTGGTTGAGGGGGTTTATTCAAATGAAAGTACTAACTTAATGTCTGCCAAGTTTAATAAACAGAGATGTCAAAAATACTCCCACAATACACATTTTACCTGTGGGTCTATTTAATTAATACTAATGCTATCTTTAAAGAATATAATAAAATTATGTAAAAAGCGATGATCACTGCTAGAGAATACTTCAGTGATTTACCATAAAAATGATAGGTTTATAGCCACATAATTCACAGCCACTCACCTGGACTTAGCTATTCACACTGTTTAAACGTACACTCCATATATGTATACACACACATAGGTACATATACCCAAATATATAGGCATTAACGTGTAAACAGCGTGTGACTATATGTATATGTGTCTTAAGGATGACATGAAATTCACTTTCTGATCCACTACAGATCACTACAGAGAATGACCAGTATAGCTTATTCACAGATTATTGTCAGTTGGATTTATGGCTGTTGCTTACCATCTCACCACATACATCACATCCTAAAACTAAACTGCCTGTGCAGCCTATGAAGATCGTCATTTTAAGTGGTTTCCCGTCACCTTGAAGAAGCATAATGACCAATCTTTAAGGTTTGAGAGTTGGAAATTTTAACTCAAGACCAAGATGCTATCTCTGAGGAAGGAATGGCTGACTCTAGAATATTCCATAACAAGCAGAAAATACTCCATGACAGGCACTCGGGCCCTGGCAAGTCTACCCCTAAGTTAGAAGTGGGCGGTTCCTGTAACTCCGAGATTTGGGGGAGGTAGGGAGTGAATATAGGACAACTCCCCTAGGTGTCGTTGGCCTCTGGGGACTAGACTTCTTGTCCCCGGAAGCAGGCCGGTCAGGCACAGGGTCAGAAAGTTGAACCTTGGGCAACAATGCAATTTGGTTGTGATCTAGGCTTCAGACTCTATAAAATCCAGTTGACCCTGGACTCAGGAAGGAGTTTCCTAGGGTCCCAGTGTCTCCTGTACAGAATGAAGGGAGTTTGTTCAGACAGGACAAGCCCAGCCGTCTGTCCTAGAGGAACATCGCCCATCACGTCCAGCATCTGGAACTGCCGGGCACCGTCCATCCTAAGTAGTCCGTCTCCGGGTTCCCGTGCTGTGCAGCCCACCAGGGTGACTCTCTGCGCTGCTCAACACGAAGGATCCCTGTTAGAGGAGCTGGCAGCCCAGGGCATCCTTGGTGGGGCCTCATACCCACACCTGATGGAAACAACTTGAGTGTAAGAGTCTTGTGGTTCCTGGTTGAGGGAAAAGCTTTACGATAGTAAGAGCGCTGTTCTCTAGTCCACCAACTCTTTAAATGTATTCTTGAAAACAAAGATGATGTTCACAGCCGTCCACAGAAACATCACAATGTTTTATTTTAAATGGTACAGCCCATCCCTGTAACACATACTGGGTCCCTGGCAGTGGACTACAGAAGCCAACAGACAGCATGTAATTAGGTATTTCAGGACACTGTCCTCAAAGGGAGATGCTGGACCACCTGAGGTGGGGTGGGGGAGAAGGGGTGGTGGGTGGGACAGGGAGAGCAGGTCCTCTCTTTTCTCCCCCGCACAGACTTTTCTGGCCTTTTTGAGACATCCGAGGGTTCATGAACCCAAACAGCCTTCATTAGGATACAACTACAAATAAGAGCAAATAAAGGCAGCTGGATAATAAATGTTTCCCACTGATTTCTAGGTTCTGGAGAAAATGCATAAGCATTCTTTTCATACCAGTAGGAGAATCACATGTCCTAAAATACAAATTGAATTATTCAGATCCCTATGATGGTCCAAGAGTGTTTCTGGCTCACAGGGTAGACAATTGCTGATGTATTTGGAGCCCCTGTTTTATCGCAACCCCATTTCCTTGGTGTCGTTAGGCAGAATTAACACTATCACAAGGAAGAATATTGGCAAAGTCATGACCTCCAACTTCTCATTGGCTAAGATGTGATGGAGCCGACACTTAATACGGCAGCATCCCTCTGGGGGAGACTGAACTGACACCCAGTTGTCAGCCACCAAGAGTGTGAGGCCAGACAAATGCATCTCCTTTACTCAAGCTCACTGCCCACTGGAAAGCGAGTCTCAGGGTCTAACTAGTGCCTCTCATTCGAAGAGCAAGGCCATGGTTTCCATGGATGCATTTGGGTCTCAGTTTCTGACATTTGTTGTACAGCCACCTCTGTGGCCCCTACGCCCTGGAGAATACCACCCAGAAATCCCATCCCCCTTCACTTAAGGAATCCCATGTAGCTGTTACATTGGAATTCAGAGGGGCAAGGGTTCGTGGGCTCAGAGAGCCACATGGTGCAGTCTGTTGTGTGTGAGGGGTGACTGTGTGTGGGCTTTTTTGCTGTTGGGTTGTAGGAGTTCCTTCTATATTTTGGCTGTTAACCCTTTATTAGATACATGGTTTAAAAATGTTTTCTCCAATTCATAGGTTATCTTTTCATTATATGAATAATCTTAACTAAGGAAGTAAAAGACTTGTACGTTGAAAACTACAAAACATTGATGAAAGAAACTAAGGGAGGCACAAATAAATGGAAAGACATCCATGGTCATGGATTGGAAGAAATAACATTGTTAAAATGGCCATACTACCCGAAGAGATCTGCAGATTCAATGCAATTCCTATCAAAATCTCAATGGCATTTTTTTCAGAAATAGAAAAAACAACCCTAAAATGTCTGTGGAACCGTAAAGGACCCTGAGTAGCCAAAGCTATCTTGAGAAAGAGCAAAACTGGAGGCATCACATTTCCTGATTTCAGAATTTATTGCAAACCCACAGTCCTGTGGGGTACTGACACAAAGCCAGACACACAGTCACCTGGTCTCTGACAAGGGTGCCAGGAATACACAAGAAGAGTCTCTTCAACGAATGGTGTTGGAAAGACTGGATATTCACATGCAAAAGAGTGAAATTGGACCCTTACACCATAGACAAAACAAAACAAAGCAAAACACAAAGTCAAAATGGATTCAAGGCTTAAACATAAGACCCAAAACTGTTAAACTCCTAAGAAGAAAACATACGGGAAAAGTTTCATGACATTGGTCTTGGCAGTGATTTCATGGATATGATTCTAAAAGCATAGGCAGCAAAAGCAAAAATAAGCAAATGGATTAGGTCAAACCAAAAAGCTTCTTCACAGGGCTTCCCTGGTGGCACAGTGGCTGAGAGTCCGCCCGCTGATGCAGGGGACGAGGGTTCGTGCCCCGGTCCGGGAAGATCCCACATGCCGCGGAGCAACTGGGCCCGTGAGCCATGGCCGCTGAGCCTGCGCGTCCGGAGCCTGTGCTCCGCAACGGGAGAGGCCACAATGGTGAGAGGCCCGCGTACCGCAAAAAAAAAGAAAAAGAAAAAGAAAAAGAAAAGCTTCTTTACAACAAAGAAAAAAATCAACAGAGGGGAAAAGCAACCCATGGAATGAGAGAAAAGATGGCAAACCATATATCTGATAAGGGTTAATCTCCAAAATACATAAGGAGCTCCTACAACTCAATAGCAGCAGCAGCAAAAAAAAAAAAAAAAAAAAAAAAAAAAAAAAAAAAAAAAA